AACCTGGAATCTGAGGTAAAATATAAATGCCAACTGGTTCCATGTTTTTCACCATAGAATAATTTTTGTTAGAATCAGACAATATTTGATTTAGGACCAAAGAACTTTCGAGAACTTTGTCTGCAATACAATCCTGCAAATATAAAGAAGACAAGGGGAAACGAGACGGAGACAATATTTGGCTCGAAACTGACACTTGTTTTGTTGGATGGCGTGGAATTTCAGACATTTCATTGCATCTATGAATCTGGGTCACAGTTATAAGTACACCACCGACTGTTTGTCACAACGAAGCTGCGATCGGCGAAGGAAAAAAGCGGAACGCTGATGTTCCAATGGCGAGGGCGTGCATTCCCGATTCGATCCGGTACTCTTTTTTTCTCCTATGCTTCCACACCTACTTTAATTCCGTCGACCGGTAGATATCTCGGGATGGGTGCTTTTTTTCATTCTTTTTCTTTTCCTCAGCCACCTTTTTTAATGGCGTCCAAGGTTTAAGAAAGTTCGGAATGAAGAACATAATAAAACTAGAATAGTTTTATTTTGGGGTTTAATTTTTACCAATGGTATTTCTCTTTTACCTATCGGTTTCTTCCGGACTGCGGGGTGATGAACCTATTTAGTCCGACTCCATCACTCTGATCTGTCCAACTTCGCTGTTTTACGTCAGACAAATTATGTCATTTCGCCATGTTACGTAACATAATATTCTTGTTTATATTTTTTAAAAAAACACGGATTTTATATACGTTGGTAACACACAAATACCGTGGAAAAGCACAATTAAGTATTCAATTATGCTCAAAACTAACTTACAACCTTATGGATGACAATACAATCGATTCATAAATTATTTCCGTAAATTAATTAAGTGTACGGCTTCAGTGTTCTACTTCTTTGTGTACCCTATCAGAAACGGACGTTGGTCATTATGATCGCAATGCTCTGTCAACAGCAGCTCTAACGAGGGATCTTTGGTTGAACTATTGCCTCAGGATTTTCAGCCATGTTCTTTTCTTCTCCTAGTAGCATGTTTCTCTTCGATTTCCCCTTCTAGATATTAAGCAATTCATATTTTATACGGGGGACGTAGAACTGTTCAGTGTCGAACTTTCAATTGAGAAGAAGGAGCATTTCTTATCCGTAAGTTCGTGACTGGATTCTTTTCATTTTGGTAAATACCGTCCTTGCCTTTTATACCCTTGCTTTTATTCCCTTAGAGTGGTCCCATAGGTTCAACTAGCAGCCTAGCTATCGTCCGGACCCTCTCTAAAGTGATATTGTCTATCCTGATTTCTACGTCCGTGATAGGTCTCTTATTGATAACCATAAATTTACTCTTTGCCTATTTAGTTTTAAACCATGCTCATTACTTTTTGTGACACCTTATCAAGTACGCTTTTCTAGTTGTTGGGTGTTTGCAAATTAAAACGGTATCGTCCGCATATCGGATGTTATTTGTTAGGGTAGCGTTCACCTTCACACCCTAATCCGCATTACTAAGATCTTTCCTGAATATGTTTTCGGACGGTTAATCAGTAGTGGCGCCAGGATGCACCCCTGCCCAACACCTCACTTGACATCCGATGAGCATCCTTCTATCCTAACACCTTTTTTTCCAGTAAAGGTTTGCGATAATGTGGATATCTATATCACATCCTATTGGGTGTTTTCAAAAATTTATATGAGAATCTATTTGATCATATAATGCAAAAAGGTTCCCAGGTGGACTGCCATTCATGATATTATTTCCTTGATGTGTCGAGCATTTTTCCTTAAATTTACAGGTTGACAGTTAACATGTTGTATACTGTGAGAACAACCCTCATCAGCATATAAATGAAATTGTAAATTACACTATTAGCTTATTTCATTATCAAATTCAAGAAGATTATTCAGGCTAGTATAAATTTTTAGTTTAGGGTTTGTTTTCTTGTTGCGACCCAGTTACACAAACCTACCAGAGATGAGGTAAAATTGCCTGGTACTTCTAGAATAAACAAGCCGGAATGAAAGGATAAGACCAGATTATTATATACCCTTGTATCGATTTTACCGGTACAACTTAGATCCGAACTGGCCAAATTATAAACGAAATTTTTCCCAACATGGGTCTTTTAATGCAGATGGGTCAAACAAACGAGCTACAGTGGCCATTCCTACGAGATTTGCTACCTTTTCGTTTTCAAGACCGAACAATAATCGGCTATGCTCTATACCAAGAAGATTGTCATCCTAAGAGATCAACGTTCTCTTAGAAAACAAGCAAAAGATGTGGTATTGCTGATTTAGATCCTACCCGCATTTCAGCAAGGAAACGTTGCCTATGGCCTTAATATTTTTTTAAACAAATCCTATCATGATTTTCCAATCCAAAGTCCAAGTTAGTTCAAGACTCGTAGAAAAACAAAATATCAAGGATTATAAATCCTCTCCTATTCTCGGAATCTGTTTCAAATGATTACTGAAAATGTGCTATGACTTTATATAATTATTATAGTTCAATCAATGTGCTTCAAGCGTGAGTGAAGGATTTTTGCATGTGTTAAATCCACCCCGCTATTTTAAAGCAGGGGCTAAAATTATTATTAGTCATTTTGCATAGAGACAAGACATTAGGGAGAATTAATTTCATGGGCACGGCTGGTAGGTCTTATCTCGGGGCAACAATAGATCCTTGTTTACCGAAGCCGGATTCCAGTGGGGTTGACACATGTGGCCCCGTCGGGTGGTGGTGCAACATGTGCAAGAAACAACACCAGCTCTCGTTAATGCAGAGGGAGGAATTTCGAGGGTAAACGGAAAGAAAGATATATCGGGCGGGTTTGATTGGATATGAGGGAGACTGGAGGCTCCACGGCGGTGTTTTCAGAGGGTCTGAGACATCCGAAAGGCTTAACGCCTGTCACCCAACTTCTCGGCAAGTTCTAATTTCCGTGAACCGGGTTTAGAACCCTCTCTCCACGCTAATGTTCACTTGACTAGTTCAATTAGAACACGGCAGACCCTCCACGCCTTTTAATCCCCGCACTCAGTCACGTTTCGCACTCCGGGAGGAAAAATCTCATAAATCCAATCGAGACTCGAACCGATTCGACCTTCACTGTAAAAATTGGAGATACAATTGGCTTTTTTTAATCTTACTCTCTAAGACATTCGAAGGACTTCCATTACCGCCTTCCAAGTGGCATAGAAACCGGTATACACTAAGCAAATTTGTTTTGTTGTATGGCCTGAAAAGCAGACATTCTGTTTATTTATGGCCTTATGTTGCGTTAGAGCATGACGAACTATTATGTTAAATGATTAGCCGGAAATCCCGTGAGTTTAATGATAGAGGTTAAATTGGCGCCAAAAAAATCAGTGTTGCCAATATTCGGGCAGAAACGGCATGATCAACGCTGCGCCTGCCCTTAACTCACGGAACTTCATGCTAACCTTAAACAAAAATTCTTAAGTTAGAATTGCTTTTAAGCAATTTCGGGCGAGAAAGGGTTAAATTATTAATAAACTGGATATGAAAACTTTTGTTTGACTAATATAACAATCGATACAAGATACAGTGGTTACAGTGGTGGGGTAAATTGAAGATTCCAAAATGGAGATTTTTCATTTGCGCCATATAAATCAGTGTTGCCAATACACGGGCAGGAACAGCACACTGCGCCCGCCTAAACTCCTCATTGGATTTCTTGCTAACCGTAAACAAAATGCTAATTTCTGCATTGCTCTGAAACCACTGTAGGCGAGAAAGTGTTATGAAAACATGTCATAGGATAATCCGACTAATCGTTGAGTTTATGACTTATCAGAAACGAGAGAAAATGATTTCACGTCTACAACTTTAAAATTAACTGTGGAACGCTTTGATCAGAGAATAAAGATTTCTTTAATTTCAATCAAATATTAAAGAAAATATCAAATTAATATTAACCTGGCACAATTTTTAATCAATCTTTTTATTTCCCTCACTGTTTGTTGGTTAGTTTTTTAAAAGCTTTAAAGATCAAGGAGTTTTTTCATTTTTTGTTTCTACTATAATCATGAACTTTTTTTAATGTCTCAGGCATCATGCATCGAATCTGTCCGATTATCCCAATGTTCATAAAAGTTTAAATCAAAACGGTCATCTACTCAACACATAATCATAAAATGTGATGTTCTTCTTTGGACATTTATACGAACCTGAAAAGATGGGACGAACTACAAAAGAGATTCTGTTTTGTCCGTGTCGGATCATTGTAAATCATCGGTGAGCATCCTTACCCCAATAAACTATAAGTGGCGACTACAATAAAGTAAGAAGAACAAACGGGAGCAAAAGTAAATCTGTCAATGAGTATTTTAAAAGAGATAAATGTCCCGGGTTAAATATATTGAGGGGGCAGTTAAAAAAAATGTTAAGGAAGGCTATATTCAAGTGGGAAGTAGGTGTTTGTGGTGGTAACCACATGGCCGCTCCCATATGGCCTACAGGCCAAACTCTATTCATCCAAACAAACGACACGAAATTCATCTGAGGCCTGGGGAAGCGTTTCACTTTTTAATCTAGAGCGACAACGAGGGCTTCTTCTAGTTTTAACGGAGGAGTAATGAGAGAGGAGCCTTTGTTATTAGAGTTTTCCCCCGGGGGATCGAGAGGGTAGACTCTGTTTATGTTTGCGATTGTATGTGTATGTGACAATATGTCAACTGTCCCGGATAATAAGATTTTCCCGGGCGGAATGCTTCACAACACATGCTCACTCGTACTCACACAGACGGAATTCTAGAATGATTAATCGATGTAATTACACTAGGCCCGGCGGCCCCTCAAGACTAATTGTTGTCCGACTAGGAATGAGATTTGCTAGAAATCACCCACTGGGTTCTAAGTCTAAGGTTATTACAAAAGGGGTTCCCATTCCACCCTCCGACTAATTACCGCCCCCCTCTGGCATTCGTTCCCTCTGGCGCCGTTTCTAAATGTTATTTTTGTAAATATTTGCCTCTTTACTTACCAGTTGTTGACTTGAAGTATGGTTAGCCCAGTGTCCTGGGCTAGTTGTTTTTTCTGATCCTCAGAAGGGTAGGGGTGCTGAAACAGAACAAAGCCCATTGAATAAATAATTGTCTACATTACTAGTAAACTATCTCACCTTTTAATACATAATTACATTAATAATTAAATAAAAATATAATTATCATTAGACATATTGTGATCTATTCGGGTTGCGTCTTACAGCAAGTATTTCTTGTTGAACTTTAGCTTAATAATCAAATCATACTTTTTTTCTTTTTTTAATATTAAAGGTAAACTGAAAAAGCATTACAAATACTTTAGTTGGACTGCCACTGAGCGAATTCCATCAGGTGCGATGGTCTGTATTGTAATATGCTCGTATATAAGTTTAAGACGTAAATATCCACAAAATATTAATAAAATTAGGAAAAGGAACAAATCAGGATGATAGACTATCGCAGGGTAAAGAAAAAGTAAAAAGGGCGGTTGGTGAAACTGCTACAACAAAAAACTGTATTAAGCAGATAGCATTTCTGAATTAGATCATGCGTAAGAAGATATCAAAGCAAAAAAAAACAACTATTTGCAAAAATGGCCTTTGTCTGTAATTCGTAGAATAACATTATAAAATTAAAAATGATGGGAAAAGCCGACACATCCAGGGCATCAGCCGAAGATTCCTGTCCTCCTGCCTGCCCAGGTAGGGTTGGTGGGGAAAATTTTGGGATAGTAGAGGTTTAGTGAAGGGGAAAAGGTATTGTGGAATTTCTGATATACCATATACGATTTCTGATATGCCATAAGACCTATGGAGGTCAGTATGAACGGTTTTATTGGAGACATGAGAGAGCATTAAGGTCCATATCGGAGGAATGACTGGTTTGTAAGGGTTTGTTCGTTGGTCGACTAGTCTCAGCAATAGTTCGTAACAGCGGTTCGTGTCTTGTCGTTTCACGCGATTGTGTGGATTTCACGTCAATCTTTCATCGATGTACAGTCCCAGGTATCGTACTATACTTTTTAAAAGGCTAGTTCCTCCTACTCACACTAAGTTGTTTTGCAACGATCCGGATTTCGAGCCTTTTAGCTCATCATCAGGTGGAAGGACACGTCTCTCGACATGAATTGCCAAAGTGAACCGCTGATACCACCGCCAACGCGACGTTCCAATTATCAGCTGATTTTTTTTAATGACGCTCAATTTGAACGTGCGAAACGCGGAAATTATAACACAAACATTACAATAATGAATACTTAATATTACTATAAATTACTATAAAAATAATAACAATTAAAATAATTAGATTAATTATTTGGATGTTTGATATTACTTATGTACATATTTAAAATGGGAGGTAGATCAAAATCTTTTATATTATTAATGCATTTATCACCATGTTCAATTTTACATATTTTAATTTCAAATTTCTCAAACCAATTCTTTCCCTTTGTTGAAACTATGTAACACTCTTGTATTTAGATTTGAGTTGAAATTATGTTTTGTTTCTTTTAGATGGTCCTTAAATTCCGAAAATTTGCTCGATTTAGGCAAGTGTTCTTTTACTCTTGTTTCTCTACCGCTTTGTCCTATATATTTAATACCATAATCATTACAACTGAGTTTGTAAACCCCGCTTTTTACCAAGTTGGCTACTTTGTCTTTAGGTTTTGAGAGGATGTTTTTAAGTGAACCCGTACTTCTAAAAGCTATTCTAAAACCTTCTTGTTTAAAAATTTTACTAACTTTTTCCGATAATTCACCAATGTATGGCAAACAACGGAAACCTACTGATTCATTTGTGGTGGGGTATCGTACTATGTCAGCAGCCAGTATCATTATATCATTTAGACTTAATGGATGGCAAAGATACTTTCTTAATGCGAAGTGACTTGAGCATATTTGCTTTTGTTCACTTTGATTTTCTAATTGCACAACTAAACTTTTAATAGGATTAGATAGGAACAGGTGGACTTTCCAGATAGGAGCTTACAACGGATGGGTTGGACTGAGAAAGAGAAGATAGCCGTGTCGTCTGCATACGTGGACATAAACAGTGTTTGAGGAAATTGTAATGTCAGCCGTGTATATTGTAAAGACGGATCGGGCCAAGGATACATCCCTGACGAATCCAGATTTTACTAGAATACAAGAGGAAAAGGATGTTCCCTAACAAGTGGGATTCTTCATTATTTAGTTTTATTTTGATTTGTTTTAATTTTTGTTCAATTGAAGTTTTATAATTTCTTGTATACCTAGGTTTTAAGCTTAAAATGAAAAAATACATTTTGAAAATGCAGAAAATGATGTGCGTACTACCTAGCCTGAGTATGAATACAAAAATATACAATGGGGTTCGACAAGACTCCGTTTTAGGTCCCCTTCTCTTTATAGTGTATGTTAACGTATTAGCGCTACCTACTAACAGCATTAACAACAAAGCACATGATATTTCTTCTCATTATTACTCAGGCAAATCTTGGAAGGGTATAGAAAGGCAAATGTCTAGCATGTGACTTCTTAGTAAATGTATAATCGACTATCGCTTAATAGTAAATTTAACTGTATTTCTTTTTTTCTGTACTATTTGTTAGCCTAAAAAAGCAGGTTAAAAAAACATTGGTCTATAATAGCTACCAATAGCTCAATTAATAACGGATGTAGACTACGCAATCCAAAAATCCACAAAAACAGAGGAAGAAAAAGACAACACGATCGAAATGCATTAACACAATAACAAATCACTTTCAACACCTCACTACAAATCAACACAACCTATCTCAACAAACATATACCAAAACCAAAAATTTTCTCAAAAATAATCCTGACATACTCAAATAAATATCGATTAACGGTCACTAATCACCACACATTGGTCTATAAAGTTTTTCATATGAATTATAATTGAGTGTATTTTATGGTTGTTAAGTAAATGATATTTGTTGGTAATTCTGTTGAACTTATGTTTTAACTCTTTACATCTTAATGTTGTCTTAGAGCAAGATGAACTTCAGTTTCAGAATTTTGTTAGGTTAAAAGGGAATGCCGTTTTTTGAGAATGCCGCGAAAAAACTCAGTGTTGCCGATACACGATACAAGGAAGGGTTAAGTCCAGCTCAGTGATGCATCTATTATACTATATGTTACATTTATAAACTGGATATAAAAAATTTGTTTTGCTAATATAACAATCGATAAAAGATGCAGTGGTGGGGTGAAGAGTCCTGTTGTAGGTTAAAGAGTCAAAGATGAAAATTTTACTTTGACGCCAAAAAAATCATTGTTGCCAATACAAGGAGATAAAACATTGAGTGGAAAACCTTCCCCCACGCAAACTCCTGCAATCAATTATTCTAAGGTTTTTTCTTTTTTAATGGAATTATCATAGTCAATCTCACGATATGTGTTACAAGAGAAATGCTTGTCAAGTCGATTTATGTAATGTTTGTTTGACTGCAAATACATAAAATATAAACAAATGCCACTGGTCTCGGCTCACAAAAGGAGTTTTGCAATTAAACCGGCGAAACCGTCCTCCCAAAGGAAATACTCGACAATAAAAGACGTCGACCAGAGATAATATATTACAGTAAACGAGGGAAGGAAGAAGGGAGAGAAAAGGACGGAATAAGAAGAAAATGCGGTTTGATAACGTTATAAAACAAATAAGACAATAGTAATTAAAGGTTTAACGAGATGTGCTAATGAGAGGGGTGAAAGTAAAACATAATGAAGGAGGTGTGCCTTTTAGAATTATAGGTATGCCACGCCTCTTCCTACCCCTCGCATTATGCAAAACCTTTCGAGCCTCCACCAAAAATCTCGTATAAATTGACAGTAAAATTCCTTCTGAAAGGGCCATCAAGTTGTAGGGGAGGGGCCACCCTCTATTATCACATGAAAATTACTTGCTACCTACGTAAACCGACTCTTATCTCTTACAATTTTAATTTAATCTTTTTCTATATCCCCTCGTCCTTAGCAGTTTCCTTTTTATCTTATTTTGTGTTTTTTAATTAAAATAGGCAAAAAGTGCTTGGGAGGAGGCAGTGAGCAGATGTCTAATAAAGGCCAACCACCTGCCCCCCCCCCGGGTCGCTCCTATTCCTAGACAAACAAACTACACCTTGACCGGCAGTAACTACTTTTTACACTTTTTTAGAGAATAATCGGCCAATTTGTAAACGCAGGAAATTCACTGAGGACTTGTTACAATACCAATTCAACAAATCATCGACAACGCCGGCCAACTATTGTAGAAAAAAAGGCATGTACACACTAACTTGTGAAAGGGGAAACAAATACATCCGACAGACAGGACGCAAAACAAAAGACTTACAAGGAACACATCAAATCTTTTAGGGACTACGACGGAAAATTGAATTATGCAACCTACATAATAGAAAACAACCACGGATCACCCACAATACAAATAAATATGAAACAACAACACAGCACAAAAAGGATGAAAAATGAACATACTCGAAAATTTAGAAATAAGCTCATAAATAAACTTAACGATAACTCACAAATATCGTTTATACCGTTTAAAACGTTAAGCAAATGAAAAAGCCAAACAAACGAAGATCATAAAGACCAAATATAACGAGAAAGTAAGCATCCTGAATTAATCCAACAAACACACCGACCGAGTCCCACCATCATTCCCGAATCATCTGCAATCACCCAAACTCAACACTGAAGATGACGAAATGCCGAAACGCGACCAACAATCAGCGGTGATAAGCAGACCAAAGTGTTAGGTAACAAACTTTAAATTTAACACGTGCTGAATGGATTATTATTTGAACGAAGGACGAATGTAACTGTCAGGAAGAATTGTCAGATTGTCTCGACGGATCTGCTAATAAATCGGAGATGAAAACTCGGTCGTATTCGATGTTTTGATCTGCGTATACAGCCACAAACCGGAACATGGCGTGAAGTCAAAATTCCTCTTATCCAAACCACGAGGATAGGCAAACCAAAATGATCGCAAGATGGAATATGAAAAGTTTGCTCCCGTTGGGCAACAAGTTCGACGAGGTAAGATGGGGGGGGGCGGAAATGAGATTTA